CCATTCTTCTCTCAATCAGCCACAGTTTGTTATGATTCACACAGTCAAACGCCTTTGCATAATCAATGAAACACAGATATACATTTTTCTGGTATTCCCTGCTTTCAACCAAGATCCATCTAACATCAGCTACAATATCCCTAGTACCACGACCCCTTCTAAACCCAGCCTGGACTTCTGGCAGTTCTCTGCTGATGTGCTGCTCTAGTAGTTTTTGGATAATCTTCAGTAGAATCTTGCTTGTATGTGAAATCAATGATATTGTTCTGTAGTTTCCACACTCAGTTGGGTCACAGAAGAGTAATGAATAGAACATTATTGTTGTTCTGTACCATCAAGTCGGAACCGACCCGTAGCTGACCCTTCAGTGGGTTTTGGAGGCAGTAAATCTAATGGGAAGAGATTGCTTATCTTTACCCTGCAGAGCAGCTGTTTGATTTGGGCCACGTGCCTTTGAGTTGAAAACACAACTCCTTAATCACTAGGCTGCAATAGCTCTCTATTAGAACTTTATGGGATAAAACTAGGTGATCTGACATCTTTTGAGCAGTTCTGTTTTCTATAGAAAATAAGGAAATTTGCAACCAAGTAAAGTTCTTCCAACCGACAATATAAATTTTCAGACTGAAAGGTCTCATTAAGTGTCCACCATAGTGAGTGATGAGAAGATTTACCCAAAACCTCATATATATGATATTTGAGAATGGTTATGATAAAAACAAGGTTAAATCATCTGTAAGGGAAGCATCAAGTCACCTACAAAAGCTTGAAATAAAATGTCAATAGACTTCTTAAGAGAATCATTGGAAAAAACTAGAAGACAATATCATGATAATCTCAGATTTACAAGTGAAAATAATTTTTAAACTAGATCTGTATTATTATGATAGAGTAAAAACATTTTCTAACATGTTGTAAAGATGCATATTCTCCCAAAATATATCCCCAGGTACTTGTTCTTGGGAAATTGTTTTAATGTGTAAGCCAAGAAAGTGAAAGGTATGGAATCTGAGAAAGAGAATTTCTGAGAATTTCTTGTAATCACAAATTGTGATATAGTAGGTAGGACTTATTATAGAAAGAACTGATGGAGGTTGTGCGGATGAAGAATGAGTGGTCAGAGAGCTTAAGCCTCAAATGACTGTCATGTAATATGATAGGAATTGATTAGATGACAAGAGTGAAAAAATCAAATCAGGAATAGGATAACATTATTTGAAAACAGAGATACAAATAGAGGTTAAAAGTTCAAACGTGGCTAGAGTATGGTTAGTATGTGCCATAGAATCAGAACTGACACACTGCTGACCCTCCAGTGGGTTTTCAGAGCCTATAAATCACATGGAAGGAGATTGCTCACTTTGTCTCACAGATCCACTGATGAACTTGAACTGCCTGCCTTTGAGTTGATACTACAGCTCTTTATACAGCTCTTTACTCTCTAGGCCACTAGAACTTCCTAGAATAGGGTTGTTACTGTTAGGTGCAGTCGAGTCAAGTTTGACTCATAGGTTTCCTATCAACAACAGATCTGAAGCCTGTCATATCCCGTGCCATCCTCACAATCTCTGGTACACTTGAGCCCACTGTTGCATTCACTGTGTCAGTCCACCTGGTTGAGGGTCATCCTCTCTTTCTCTGTCCCCTCTTCAATGAATAGACTGACCTAGTAACATACTCAAAGTATGTAAGGCAAAGTTTAATCACCTTTGCCTCCAAGGAGCACACTGGGTGCATCGTCTCCAAGACACACATCTCTGCTTGTTCTCTTGGCTGTCTATGGGATGTTTTTAGTACTGTTCTCTTAACACCACAGTTCAAAGTCATCAGTTCTTCTTCTGTCATCCTTATTCATTAGCCAGCTTTCAGCAGCATACCAAGTGATTGAAGAGACCATGCCTGATTAAGACATACCTTAGGCTTCAAACTAATATCACTGTTCCTTAATTATTTAAAGAAGTCTCTGACTACAGACTTTCCCAATGCAATATGTCTCCTGATGTCCTGACTGCTGAAACCAAGTGTATTGATTGTGAATCTAAGTACTATAAACTTTTCAGTACTGTTAAATTTTTGTTACTATTTAATTTTTAAATAATGGTTATGCTACTTTAAGTGAAAATTAAAAATTCAGTAAAAATTGTAAATACTATATTGAAATGTGAAATATTCAGTGAATTTTTTATTTCTCTATTTTTCATCTTTCAAATGAATATAGCTAGGAATTAAAATTTGGCCTAAGTGAAGAGGGGAATTTCAGAACATTTAATTGTGCTAATGTGAAACCTATACTTGGACCAAGATGCAGTCGTCAGAACAGAGCAGGGTAACACTGAATGGTTCAAAATTGACCTGCAAAAGGTGGTGCCAATGCTGTGGAGGTAGTTAGGATGACTGCGTAAAGTCTATCTTGGCATTGTTGAAGAGGCAGCTCTTAATTCTTTGGATATATTCGTAGTAGTGAGAATCCTGGATCAAAGTTACTTCTATTCTCAATTTTCTATGGAAGTCTGACAGCTGGCTAAAATATTCATACGATGGAATATAAGGCAACAATGAAAATTTATAAATTACACGTAGATGGTATACCAATTGACATATTTCAGCTAACAGATGCTGCCCTTGATGTGCTCACCAAGTTGTGCCAAGAAATCTGGAGAACAACCACTTGGCCAACTGACTGGAAGAGATCTATATTTGTTTCCATTCCAAAGAAGGATGACCCAGCAGAGTGTAGAAACTATAGAACAATATCATTGATTTCACATGCAAGCAAGATTCTACTGAAGATTATCCCAAAATGACTGGAACAGCACATCAGCAGAGAAGTGCCAGAAGTCCAGGCTGGGTTTATAAAAGGTTGTGGTACTAGGGACATTGTAGCTGATGTTAGATGGATCTTAGCTGAAAGCGGGGAATACCAGAAGAATGCCTATTTTTGTTTCATTGATTATGCAGAGGCGTTTGACTGTGTGGATCATAACAAACTGTGGCTGACTCTGAGAAGAATGTGAATCCCAGAACACTTGATTGTTCTAATGTGAAACCTATACTTGGACCAAGAGGCAGTCACAGTTGGGAAGGTGTATGCCAGGGATGTGTCCTATCTCCATACCTTTTCAACCTGTATGCAGAACAGATTATCTGAGAGGCTGGGCTCTATGAGGAGAAGTGTAGTGTCAGGATTGGTGGAAGATCTATTAAAAATCTACGTTATGTAGATGACACAACCCTGCTTGCTGAAACTGAGGAGGACCTCATCCACTTGCTGCAAAGGGTCAAGGACTGCAGCCTTCAGTATAGACCGAGGATCAATGTCAAGAAAACAAAGATTCTCACCACTGGACCAATTGGTAGCATCAGGATGGGTGGCAAAGGGATTGAGATTGTTCACAGCTTCAGATTGCTCGGCTCCACGGTCCACACTTTAGGCACCAGCAGTCAGGAAATAAAAAAACGTATTGCGATGGGAAAGTCTGCTGTTAGGGACCTCTCTAAAGTACTCAAGAGCAACGGTGTCTCTCTGGTGACTAAGGTGCGCCTGATACAGGCCATGGTTTTTGCAATCACTTGTTATGCATCAGAGAGTTGGACAATGACCAGGGAGGATAGAAGGAGAATTGATGCCTTTGAGCTGTGGTGCTGAAGAAGAGTATTGAGGATATCATGGACTGCCAAGAAAACAAACGGATTCATCCTAGAGAGGGTTAAACCAGGCTACTCCTTGGAGGCAAGGATTCTGGGGCCTCGTCTGACATACTTTGGACATGTTGTAAGGAGAGAGACATCATGCTTGGTAGGGTGGAGGGACAGCACAGGAGGGGAAGACCCTCTGTGAAATGGATTGATTTGGTGACTGGGGTAATCGGGATGGGTGTGTCAGAGGCAGTGCGATTGGCACAGGATAGAGCAGGGTTTAGGACTGTTGTATATAGGGTCGCTATGAGTCGCAAACGACTTGATGGCATATAACAACAAGAATAACAACAGGTGAAGAGAGTGGCCACATAAAAATATCTTGGAGTGTTTACTCTGTATGATAATGCCTTACTATGTTATGATGACTGCAGGAAGAAAAGCTTCCTATAATGATTTATAAAAGTGATAATAATAGAAAAACTTTTTTTCCTCCCTAGTTTTCCTGGAGCCAGAAACACTGGATCTTTTCTTCAATTTGTATCATTCATTCCCACCACTCCTGTCTCAGTTAGTAAGTGAAAAACCATTTAATACTTTCTTAAAGAAACAAACCACCAAACCTATCTTATTAAACTTAGGAAGGGGTGGTAGTTACATATTTTTAAATCCTATTTATATATGTCCTTGACTAGCTTTTCCCTCTTGGTTAGTGTTTGTTGCTCTTGTGTTCCATTGAGTTGGAATGGACCTATAGCTGATCCTCTGGCAGGTTTTCAGATGCAGTTAATCACAGGGGAGGAGACTGCCCATCCTTCTTCTGCAAAGCTTCTCTTAGATTCGTACTGTGTGTTGTATGGATTGCTGCACAGCTTCTTGCCAGTAGACCAACAGAGCTACTTATGCTTAGTGATTACCTCACAAAAAATTATTTAAATCTCTTGGTATATGTATTGCTTAAATTGTCAGATTATAGTAATAGTCAACAGTCTTCAATTTTAAGGTGGAGATTAGAGCCAATTCAGAACCTAATTAATAACTGTTGATTAAGCCCTTTCCTACAACAAACCAACCCTCTAGGTCTTTAAGTCTCACTTCCTTCCTACTCAGTCCTCATCCCTTCTTTTGCCCCTTACCAGCTCCTTTACTTCTCTTATTGTGTTCAGTCCTACCTAGCTCCATGTCTTAGACTTGACAAGGAGCCCCCATCAGATTTCTCTGAATGAGAAGTGGACCTACGTACTCCAATTTGTGCTTTCAATGTTGTGATTTTTGTGAGAAAAGAACTACTCTAGTTCTGTTATTTTTTCCAATCAAATTCATGTTCAAAAACTTCTTGAAACTCTGGTTTTATGAAACTTTGAGACCATGGGACATTGTGGAATCCAAAACAGGATGGACAGGATTTAAGACAAAAAGGTCAATTTCATATCTAAGCTGATGCAAGTCAAGTTAAGGAGCTGTAATACTATCTTTAATTAGCAAAGATGTTGCAAGTTTAAGGTATACATTAGCAATATATTTATTTAGCTGTATTATCTTCTGGAAAGAATGAACAGATTGTTGACATAACCCTTTTTAAACATGATCACAAGAAAAAGCACATGTTTGTTATTGACTCTGAAGGGTTTCAAGGTATCACAGATATTAGTGAACAACTCTAGACTGGTGTTGCAATATGGTGCCATACATAGAACTCAAGCCTTCTGTATTCTAATCATTGCTGTCTTGCTTTTAGTTGTTTAAAAACCTCAGTTTAAATTACAGTTACATTTTGGGATGAAAGAAAAAAAGGTGTCAGTACTTAAAATATAAAGAGGTGAAGCAGCTTTTTTTAGAAAAGTAACATTTATTGGGCAGGCTCTGTTATTTGGTGCTTAACTTAATCTTCAAAGTGACCCTCTGAGGTAAGTATTATTACCTTCTCTACTACTTGGCCAACTGATTGGAAGAGACCCATATTTATTCCCATTCCAAAAAAAGGTGATCCAACAGAGTGTGGAAATTATTGAACAGTATAATATCACAAATGCGAAGGCATTTGACTGTGTGAATCATCACAAATTGTGGTTAACCATGAGGAAAATGAAATCCCAGAACACTTGATAGTGCTATGTGAAAGCTACACTTGGACCTGGAAGCAATACTCAAAAACAGAACAGAGCAGGGAAATAATGTGTGGTTCAAAATCAGGAAGGGATTGCATCAGGGATGCATCCTGTTTTCACACCTTTTTAATCTCTATGTAGAACGGATCATTCAGGAGGAGAGTTTTATGAGGAGAAATGTGGCATCAGGATTGGAGGAAGACTCATCAACAACCTACATTATGCAGGTGACACAACCTTGCTCGCTGAAATAGAAGACCTGAAGCGCTTTCTGTGTGAAGTCAAGGACGGTAGTCATCAATATGGATTGAAGCTTAACATCAAGAAGACAAAGATTTTCATCACTGGGCCAATTGGCAGAACCATGATAGATGGAGAAAAGATTGAGGTGGTTAACAATTACAGCTGGCCCAGCTCCACAATCAATTACACTCTTAATACCAGCAGTCAGGAAATCAAAAGACTAATTGCATTGGGGAAATCTGCTGTTGAGGACCACTCCAAAGGTACTGAAAAGCAGTGATGTCAGTCTAGAAACTAAGGTGCACCTAATCTAGGCCTTGGTTTTTGTGGTTAACTTGCTTTGCGTCAGAGAGCTAGACAGTGGCCAGGGGAGACAGAAGAAGAACCGATGCCTTTGAATTGTGGTGTTGTAGAAGAGTCTTGAACGTGCCAGGGATTGCCAAGAAACAAATAGGTCTGTCTTGGAGAGAGTGAAACCAAGGTTCTCCTTGGAGGCTAGGATTTTTGAAGTTGCTTCACGTACTTTTGGCATGTGGCCAAGAGACTGGTCCTTGGAGAATGACATCATGCTTGGAAGGGTGGAAGAACAATGTAGGAGAGAAAGATCCTGGATGAAATGACTGATACAGTAACTGGGGCAGTGGGGGTTGATGTGCTGGAATTAGTGAGACTGACTCAGGACAGAGCAGGGTTCAGAGCTGTTGTACATTGGGTTGCTATAGGTCACAGGCAACTCAACAGCACGTAACAGCAACAGCATATTAGGGAGCACTGGTGGCTGAGTCGCAAGACACTGCATTGTGGTACCAAAGGCATGCAGTTTGAATCCACCAACTACTCTGCGGGAGGAGGATGGGCAGTCTCCTCCTGTGCTATTAATTGCCTCTAAAAACCCGCCGGAGGATCAGCTATGGGTCAGTTCCAACTCCACAGTACACAAAAACAACATATAGAGGAGGAAACACATATTCTTCCAGGTGACAGAGTTAATACTAGAGCTGTTTATATCCAAACTCGAGTTTTCTGGGCCAAAAAGCCCTGACTGTTTTTAATATACGAGTGGTTGCCAAACTTTCTACACATCAGAATTGCTGGGAAGTTTTGTATTTTTTTATTTTTGACACTAGGGCCTCTAACACATTAGAGAACACTTAAAAAAGGGCACATTTTGACTTTTGTTCCTATTCTCACACCAAGAGAGCCATATATTTTTTTTATGTATGCTACCACCTGTCTTAAATATCTAAACATTGAAAGTTCATTCAAATAATAATAATTTAATAAATTATCAGACACATATGAACCAGTGCAAAATTATTGGGCCACTGTGGTCTAAAACTGTCAGTGTGGCAAGTTCAAGAAAGATCACTTCAACTTTAGTACCATTATCATAATTAAGAACTCAAGAAATTACACTGTTAGGTGCAATATAAAAGTTAAGGCAGTTAAACAACAAATATGAGTTAAGAATGTCTACGGTATATAGTTCTTCTAACAGAATTTTATTTACTAGTGCTGAAGATTTCAATGAATGATATGTGTGAAATATTCCATGGTAAACTGAGTTTAGGACAGGTTTGATGAGAGTTAAAGTTCCAAGATTTTTTTTTCTCCCTTGCAGCTACCACAGTGTATAATGAGTAGAGTTTTCCAAGTGTATTCCATCACAAAGGCATGTTTTATTTTTGGTTGACCACCTGGATCATCAATTCTAAAACAGAACTGGACATCAGGATTGCTTGGAAAGCCTTTTGAACACTTGTCTAAACCCGCTGTGGTGGATTTCTAAATGAAATTATTCGAAAGGGGGTTTACACACGAAGAGGAATTTTAGTAATGGCATGGAATGGTTGTGGGTAGTAATGGTGATTCTTGACATTTATCTTTCAGTGTTTTTTATCATTACAAATTTAAGAATATTTTCAATGTAAAGACTTGTATTCATTACATGTGGAGATAGACACTTGCAAAATTGAAATAAATTTTGTTGTTATTTTTAGGCACTTTCATGTTTAGTTCAGTTTGCTTCTACAAGAAGGTCCTTATTTAGCAGTCCTGAACGTGCCAAGTACCTTGGTAATTTAATTAAGGGAGTAAAAAGGATACTTGAAAACCCTCAGGTATTTATGAAGTAATTTAATTAATATTTAGTATGTAGAAATACAGTTTTTCTGCCAGAGGTACACAGTAAACTCAGCATGAATTTATTATTACTCTGCAAGAAAATATAAAGTATCATATTAGTCTTCATTGTATCCCTTTAGTAGCAGTTTTGTAGTAGTTTTTTAAAAATAGATGTTTTATTGACAGACTTTAATGCATTTTTTTGAATATAAGTAGAGTTCATGTATGTTGTTGTTTGTTTTTGCCTTTCCTATTTTACTGTGGGTTTTTTTAATTCCCAAGTTACTGACGTGATTAATTCAGAGTTATCTCTTAACTATAAAACTTAATATGAATCTAAGCATTAATATTGGAGGAAGTGGCTTTAAACTATGAAGGGTTGTTTGGGTTTTTTTTGCCCTCTTTTGAACAAATAAGATTTTGTAGATTATAAAGTGCATTAAGGACAGCATCTGTGGTAATACTGATCTTAGAGAACTGAAAAACCTAACTCACTGCTGTTGAGTCAATTCTAACTTAAAACAACCTTGTACAACAGAGTGAAAGTGCTTGGTAAGGTTTCCAGGCTGTGAATCCTCCAGAAACAGCCATCTATCTGCTGTGGAGCTGCTAATGGGTTTGAACCATTAACCCTTCAGTAACAGCTGAATGCCTTACCCACAGTGTCACCACGACTCCCACAAACTTACATAAACTTTTTTCTCCCTGGATAAATATTTTTTTCTAGTTTGATTTTTTTAAAAGAGTACAGATTTTAAAGGTTAAATGATTATTAAGGAAATGTATCCAAGTCTCGTGGTTATGAGTACCTTTTTGGGAACTAGTATCATTCACAGAGAAAAAGTATTCTTGCTCCAGAAAAGTTGCATTTATTGCAATTTCTTCTCAGTAGCAATTTAAATGTGTTACACCTTTTAGTGTTAACATAGATGCTGAAATAGGTTTATTTTCTTATGACTGGAATTCTAAGAGTATATTTTTAAAATTTTAGTTGTTTGACTCACTGATATCAACCAATATGGTGAGATAATACCACTACCAGATAATTCTCTTTAATGAATTTCTGGCGCTTTCAATCTAATATTTAATCTATGTTTATTTTGAATATTTTGTTAGTTACTTTAGCATTACAATCATGTATTTAAAGCCTTTTAAGTACAAGATATCTTTCTGCAATTTGCCTTAGTAATTAGACACCATTTTATATACTTTCTTGGAAATATGTGAATGAAATATCTTAGAAACATTTTCGCTCTTCTGCTTAGTAAAGGTGATCAAACTTGTGATTCCTGTGCCTTCTTCAAGGAACTCTTGGGCAACTAGGGGCACTTTTCTTGCTCTTTTAACTTCTCCTCTCCACAAAGTTACTTTGTGTCCTGAAGATACTGTTGTGGAACTTTCTGTTCTCCATTGTTTGAATATCTCTTTAGAAATGAAGAATTATTTGAAGACACAGTGAGTGACTGTAGGCTCTGAAAAAGTACTTGTAGAATTAAAGGAGATTTTCATGTTGCACGTGTGTGTGTGCGCACGCGCATGCACACACCATTTAATATAAGTTTAATTGGTTCTTCTCTTTTCCAGAGTTTCAAGGGCCCATCCGTATTTTCATTTAATAATTTCCAAGTTATTTATTGAACTTTATTTTAATCCAAAATATACACTCACATATACTTATTTTGTTGATATAATAATTTCCCAGATATCATCATTGACAAGATTAAATCTTTCAGCCTTTACTTGTTGGTAGCTTTCTAGTTTTGTTTTTTTTTATTGTTATCCTGTCCAGTGGCACAAAATATGTTATTAAGTACCTATGAAAAATGAAAGACTTAATAAAAATACACATGAATTTTTTTTTATGGTATGATTGGTACCTAAGTGTGTTTGTAGATATAAGTTAAAAGCTTTTCTTTTTGTCTTGTAATTTAGGGTTTGTCTGATCCAGGTAATTATCATGAGTTTTGTCGATTTTTGGCTCGTTTAAAAACAAATTATCAGCTGGGAGAATTAGTTATGGTGAAAGAGTATCCTGAAGTTATCAGATTGATAGCTAATTTTACAATTACTAGCCTTCAGGTAAGTGAAAATATGTTGTTGCTGTTACCATTGAGATGGTTTTTTTTTATGTCAGTTGTTGTTAGATGCAATCAGATTGACTCCAACTTCTAGTGCTTGCACAATCAACAGCTCTAAAAGGTACCTGATCTGTTGATTGGTGGGAAGTTTTTGTTTTAATATCTATTACTTTAGGTCTTTGAAAAATTTTCACAGTAATAGTTTAAGTAAAGAAAAAGTTAATTATAGTATTTATAATAAAGGTTTAGAAATCACTTAAGTATCTAAAAGTGGGGGAATAAAAACTATAGTAAACACGTGAAAAACTAAGAAAAAATTATAGATTGTATTAAATGGAAAAATTAATCTTATAAATCTAAACAGGTGGTTTATAAAGCCTTATTTTATTCATGATGCTTGGATAGAAGTTTATTAAAAGGAAATACACTAATGATTTGACAGTGATCATTTATAGGTGATAGGACTAATGAGAGGTTGTTTTTTTATACACTTTTGGTTTTATGAAATTTGCTATGTTGTTAAGTGTGCATTACAAACATAAGCAAAAGAACATGAAATTTAAAAGTGTAATGGGTTTGCCTCTATTCTTGGTTTTACTGGAAAGTGGAATGTCACTTTAAGTAACTTTTGCTTTTATTTCTTTACAGCATTGGGAATTTGCTCCCAACAGTGTTCATTATTTACTAACCCTGTGGCAACGAATGGTGGCGTCAGTTCCTTTTGTGAAGTCAACTGAACCCCATTTATTAGACACATATGCACCAGAAATCACAAAAGCCTTTATCACTTCTCGGTTGGAGTCTGTTGCCATAGTTGTGAGGTATTGAAAACTAAATGTTTGTATTTTAGCTTTGTCTTTTGCATTTTATATATGTTTTAAATGAGGTGTAATTTAACTACTATGAAATTCACCTGCACAGTACAGCTTGGTAAGTTGTCTTGATAGGTAGATGTTACTATCATAGTCAGTATATAGAATAGGCTCGTTATCTCAGAAAACTTCCTTTGTAGTCAGTGCTCTCATTCTTAATTACTGATCTGGTTGGGGTTTTTTTTCTTTTCCCTTACAGTATTCATTTTTCTTAGAATGTCATACAAATGAAATAATTAGATAGCCGTTTTGACTGACTGCTTTCATTAAGCATAATGCTTTTGCAGTGAGTACATTTTATGTCATTAATCTTTCCTTTTCATTGCTGAGTATTATTCCATTATATACATACATATATTGGAATATTTATATCTTACAGTTTATCTGTTTACCTCTCATTGGTAGATATTTTTATTATTTCTGTTTTGAGCAATTATGAATAAAGCTAGTGTAAACCTTTTGTACTATTTTTTATGGGGCTATAAGTTTTCATTTCTCTTGAAATGCCTAGGAGTGGGATTACTGAGTTGCATTTCTCTGGAATAAATACCTAGGAGTGGAATTCTTAAAGTGCATGGCAAGTTTTCTTTGAGTGTGTGTTTGGATTTTTTGGCATTTATAAGAAATTGCCCAAGTATTATTCAAAGTACCTGTATCATTTTGCATTTCCACCAATGGAACATGAATCTAGTTGCTCTGTATACTTAGCAGCATTTAATATTTTGTTGCATTTTAATATTTTGCACATTTTTTACTTATTTTAGTAGCATTTTTTAATAATAATAACTTTTATAGTGGTACCTAATTTTCTTGTCACTAATCTGGAGAACAACCACTTGGCCAACTGACTGGAAGAGATCTATATTTGTTCCCATTCCAAAAAAAGGTGACCCAACTGAGTGTGGAAACTACAGAACAGTGTCATTGATTTCACATGCAAGCAAGATTCTACTGAAGAT